GTTACCCTGCTTGCCACGCCCAATAGTCACCTATGTCCTGAATGCTTAGCCAGATATAATAGATTTGATTCGTATTTTGATAAGTATGTTTTCGTATTTGTTAAATATACTTATTTAAAAATATTTAAGTAGATAAATGAGTTGGTAAACTGGTTCCGTTTTGTGACGGATTAAGAATACGGAGGGTCACCACCCCTATTCATTCCGCGGGTGTCGTAAGAGCCGACTAAGGGAGCAAACTACACAGAACAGCACTACAAAAAGAAGGAAAACTTGAAACAAACCCTATACCAACCCGTCTGGCCAGCGTGGTATAGTAGGCCAAAACCTCCTTTCTAAGGAGAGGCCTATGTCTAAAAGAGGACTATTAAGGGCTGTTAATGATTGATGAGGTAGTAAAGATTTGAATAGGCCTAGTTCACATTGCACTAGCGAAAGAAAAACAATTGAACATACTTAAAATTGTTGACGTCGACTTTCCCACCATAGGTCTCTAATAGTTCAGCAAAATCTAAAGTGTCTGAGCTCTTATCAAATGAAATTACTTTGGTGTCAATTTGCAAGAGCTTCACAGCTTTTTGTACATCCTGCACTTTCTCACTTTGGCAGAAGACCACTTTCGGTTTGGTTACCCCAAAAGATTGTTGCAATTCATCTGGAACAAAGTGGTTCGGTTAATTCCTTGTCAATAAATAAATTTTATTGAATCTCTTTTGTTATGATATTAAACTATGTAGACAACAGAATAAAAATTAAATAAGCAAAAATTTTCAATCAAATCTTACCCCAAACTGAATAAAATATTTTTTTGCTGAAACACCAAGTGAAATAACTAAATCGATTTCATTTCATTTCACTTAAGCTTCGCAATCCGTATACCCACATCCTCGACTTTGGTGCGGGCGTCCAATTTCGACGGTCCACAAGGTGGACACCTAGCATGGCCCACTCCATGACTCTTTGAGCAACCCTTATGGCATACATGTGCTCGTTTAAAAGAGGTCATGTTTCGGATCCATAAGTGAAAATAGGCAGAACACATTTTCTTGCTTTTCAGACATTGCGGGATTTTTAACTTGAAGGCGTCTTCCAATTTACCAAAAGACGCGTGATTTGTCATTACCTTGGTCTTCAACATGTTCATCCTGAGGCCGACGCTCAATGAAGCCTAATGCAATTGGGCGAGCATGATCTGGAGTTCTGCGGCTGAATTGTCAACGAGAATCCGGTACACACGACACAAAAGTAACTGCTGGCGTTACAACCCATACAATGCCGTCCCCCGAGCCACTGTCTCTTACGGAAAGGTGACTCCGGTCCGGAATCGAAATTGCCTGTTCCAGACACTGCATGGCATGGTTAGGAAACCAAAACAATATCCGCTATATAGAAGAAACTTTTTCCAGATGTTGAAGTTGCTACTTAAATGTTTTTTTGCTTCATGGTTACGATTTGTAGTGAAGATCGCTCATTTTCACAGCTAAAGTTTTACCGTCCAACAGGGCCCCAAATTCTTGTGTGCTCAGGGGCCCCAGCATAGGCTAAGACGGCATTGCTTGCTCCGTTATTTGACTTATTTATTACACAACCATAGCCATATAATTATGCGTAATTACTAAAACAAGACTTACAAATATTCATGGTCCTATCAGTAGGAGCAACTGCAAGTCCGAGATAGAATCCAGCATATAAAGGAATGGCCAGATCAAGGTGGTTTGGACCCATAAGCACAATGACGTCATCCTTCTTCAAACCAATATTCCTAAGGCTAGTTGCACATTGAATACTTCGTCTGAGAACAGAGCCGTTGGTTTCTGATTGTCCGGTAGCGCCATCAATCTAAAGCAATAATTATAAAAATAAGACTTATTATCATAAACCGTAAAGTAATAATCTTCTTCTTCTGCTCGGTCGAAAGACGTCCACTGCTGGACATTAGACTCCCCCAAGTCTCGCCACAACAACCGGTCCTACGCCGCTCGCATCCAACCCGCAACCTTCACCAAGTCGTCGGACCACGTTGTGGGGGGCTTAACCACGCTCCGTCTTTTGGTTTGCAGTGGCCACTCGAGAAGTTTTTGCTGAAAAAAATATTTTTTTTTAATTATGCAGATTTTGTTAAAAGTCTAAAATTATTTTTTAATCGGAGTACGCTATATATCGGAGTAATATTATAAACCTCATATTTTTGATAAAATGGTATTATTTAAAAATTTGTTTAAAGGAATAAGGAGCAAACAAGCGGATGGGTCATTTGATGGTAAGTGACTGCCCATGAACGCCTGCAACCCAAGAGGATGGATGGAGAGATTGGGAGCGGTTTGTGCTTTCGGTAACTTCACTCACTTGTTGAAAAGCATGGCTCTCCCAAGAATATTACGATACAAATAGAAAACGGTTATTAAGGAAAATTAAAAGTCATTAATCAAGCGAGAAATCTTAGAAGTGTGCACCACATGAAGTGTGCACTACGCCATCCGTGCAGTAAGTACATACATATTACAGACAAATTACACCCAGACACAGAACAAATATCACATGTGATGTGCACATCACACAATATTTGTCCTGGGTTAGAATCGAACTCGACAACAGGCTAAAATTGATTTGTATATGGGTATTATAAACTGATAACATTTCTCTCTTTCAAGTGTACGCCTGGCGTTAAACACATGGATTAGTATTCTAACATTATTGTTTGATGTACCTATCCGTGTGGTGTGTCACCACTACGACAGCCAAAGAATACCCGCCGGGGCTGCCATTAAACGAACTAAAGTTTTGCAGTTTTATAGTAACATGAATATAATTATTGAAGATGTTTTACGACGACATAATGTAACACATCTCTATTTTAGTTGAAAATTTAAATAGAGGTGGCAGCCCCCGACGGATATTCTTTGGTTGTTTATTAAGTTCATGGGTAGTTGACTATGTTATTTATTATTGCCGGATTGTAATTTATTCTTTGAGAAACAAATCGGCATAAAAGGAAGTGCTATGAAAACTAATACTCCATTGTTTATATGACCGACTTCGTGAGAGATCAACTCTATAATAAAAAGCTTTTTACGTTTATTATCGTTATTTACATAATCTGTTTAAGTCAGGGGTTTTTTAATTATTTTATCCTTTTTCGATTACGTTTTAACCGTCGTGGGTATTTTCAAAAATTTTAATTTTGCTTTTTATTATTATTATTTATTACTAGATATAATTACGTAGTATAAAAACGATAAGTTGATATGATGTTCAAAACATTCAGCTGCAGCTCTATACTAGTCATCAAAGAGAAGAGAAGATAGAGATAACTGCAGAGACGACGATTTTTTTTTGTGTTTTTAGAGTTTCTTCGTCAGTACTCCCTACAGAAATACTTACGTAAACTAATATAAAATAAAAGGAGTGTTACCTCCTGGCTAATGGACGGCCTTGTCATTACAAATCAAATGAGCCCAAACTCAAAGGTTTTACTAGCAACCATTAAGGAGTTCCAGTAAATTCCTTTTAGCTCCATCATTAAAGTAATAAAAAATTAAAGTAAGAGATATAGATTATAGTTAGATTCATTAAAATCGGACTATTAGTTTTGGAGATAAATAGCAATTTTGGTTTGCACAAACGAACAAACAAACAAACACATCCTCAATGTTAAAAAAAAAGTCAGAATTAAATGTCAAATAAATAAAAAATAATAGAAATTGTAAATCAAGATAAATAGTAATAATTAAGAATAAAAACACTGTAAAATTGATTACCCTTAAATTTCTTTTGGTATTTTATTTTATTTATTTTTATGGATGCATATAAAATCTTCTATTTACACGTACTCACTTACTCAGAGTTACAGAAGCATCACTTCTTTTCTACATTAGGTACTAATAATTTTGCACTCATTTTAAAACAATCAAAATATATTGAAATTATAATCACCTGCATAACAAATTCTGGATCATCCCTCAAGCCTTGTAATATAATTTTTCCAAGATGGAATCTATCACTTGGTATTCCAGAGTCGGCGACAATTCTTGATGTTAATTCATTCATGAACATGTGCACCCAGTTATTGGAAAAGTATTCTTCGGCGATATTCATGATTTTTAGCGGCTATCATAGATTTTGCAAACTTATAAAATGAACAAATGAATTCAACTGAGAGTCTTTTCAGTGTTTAAATAGTTTAGTGAGTGAACGATATCTGTCGGTTATATAATATATTATGCGATAATAAAATTATTGCTCATATAATTAATTATAATAAGATAAAAGATATAATCTTTAGATATATAGTTATAGATGATGATGATACAAAATACTGATACATTGGAATAGTCTAAAAATCAAGGTACTTCCATCTGCGTTTTCTTTTATGCAACCATTGAATAGAGCAAGAGGTTGATAAGAGCAAAGCTGAGGAGTAGCAGTGTACGGTAACTGGGTATGAGTTTTAGTAACAGAGTTTTACTACTACTATTATTATTCCTTGTCATCGACAAATTAATTGTACACAGTTTACATATTAGAGAAGTGCAACACAACGTTAACATTTAAAATTTAGGCAACCATGGATGATTTTGCGATGTCACCCTTTTGACAAGACAATCTAAGACTGTTGGATATCTGAAACATTTATTTCATTAAAAAACAATAATTCTAGTTTAAATAGACGTACCTCGCTACTTCATACTTGTACCTACTAAAAGGTAAATAGATAGACTGTATTTTTCTATCTGATTGACATAATATTATACGAGGATTAGAAATTCTCAACTTTTCTCGATTTTCTAGTTGATTGAAAGTATTGGCCCATGATTTAGCTGGACTACCAATTCGAAATTTATCAATGTCGTCATCAAATGACAGAAGACGGTATATTTCTTACAGAGAAGTTCGGTGGATGAATGTTGTACGTAATTAATACGCTTCCGTACAACAAATTCAATTCATTATATGAAATTTACTATAAAAGTTGAAAATTACCATAATAATCAAATGATTGCAGGGACAGCAAAGTAGGTACCTTTCGTCAAGCAAAAGAAGTAATTACAGTTCTTCAGGTATGGAAATGTAGTAACTTAAACTATACTTCAATACCATCTGACGAAGACACACTGAACTACGGAGTAACTATAAATCCCGCATCGCGCAATTTAAGTTCTCACCCAGACGCAATTCCATCTCATCGACTATGGGACCATCCCTTCCCAGACAGACCCGAAATGCCTTCTATAGTGAAGGCGCTCTGTAGATGTGGTGTAATGATTTGCATGCCATACGTTGGTTTCGTCAGTCCCTGGACAAGATTGCGTTACCGCGTAAAGGCACATTTTTATACCAAGAACGCTAGTAGTTAAAGGCAACGAAACATTTAGTGAATGGGCACCCACTGGCTTACTTAAAAGTGGGAAAAGATTATACGAGCTATATGATGAGAGGAATTATTATAAAAGTGAACAGTTTCATGACTATGTTAAAGAATATTCAAAGCTGTTTAGAAAACAGTAATAAGAAAGCAATAATAAGATCAAAATCACTTAGAAAATGATCAATAGTGAAACTGGAAAAAATCAATGCCGTGACAAGAATTTAATTTAAATATTAACAACACATTTATTACATCAAATGCTCAGGTTGCTGCTGCATTTGAGAACTTTTTTACTAACATTCTTGTATTAACTACTAAATCTTTGAACTCCTCACCATGCCTTGCAGAATCAATTTTAAAGGGTAATGCTAGTAGGATTGATAATAAATTTAAGTTCCAATATGTTTCCCCGTTTCAAATTATTAAAGCCTTTAAAACTATTAATGTTAAAAAAAACACCTATTGGGAAATTCTGTATTAATTACTAAGACAAAAAATATTTCTTGTGGCTAATCAATTGTCATTTACATTTAATCAATGTGTTGATAATGGTATATTTCCTGATCTTATGAAGTCTAGTAAAATTATTCCCTTATTCAAATCTGGTAGTACATCTGACCAAACTAACTTTAGACCTACCTCAGTACTACCAGTATTCAGCAAATATTTTGAAAAAAATATGTATGACCAACTACAAAGCTTTTTAATAATAATAATTTATTATACAATAGACAATTTGGTTTTACAAGGGGTCGCTTCACAACTAATGCCAGTGTTGAGCTAGTAAAACATATATTTGATGCCTGGGAGAACGCCTACGATTCTCTAGGTATCATATTCGATTTATCTAAAGCTTTTGATTGTGTTGTTCATGAAACGCTGATCAGGAAATTACACGACTATGGTATCAAAAATAAAGCACAGGAACTTCTTGCTTCATATCTGGATAATAGGATTCAGGTAGTTAATATTAATGATAAGCGGTCTCCAGGCTCTGTAATAGAAATGGGTGTTCCACAAGGATCTATTCTCAGCCCTTTTCTGTTTTTAGTATATATTGACGACTTACCTGACCCTGTCAAGGACAATCTCGAGATTATGTTGTTTGCAGATGATACATCATTATCATCATATTTAAACTAAAACAGACACTTACTAATTTCACAAACCTAAACAGTGCCCTTCCAAATGAGGTTCATTGGTTCGACGTCAACAATTTGTTTTTAAATGAACTAAAAACCAAGTGTATAAGATGTCGAGTTGGACCTTGTGGATACTACGACATATTAATATATTATCGAGTAGACTCAGCTCAGCAGCATACGCAGTAAGAAAAATTCGAGAGTTGACTGATGTTGATACAGCACGACGAAAATAACTGAAGTAGACAAACTTCAGTTATTTTCACAACAGTAGAATACCGTACGACATTGTACGGTATTCTACTGTGGGGGAATGCTGCCGACATTCAAACTAAAAAAAAATGTGATGTACATTCTATAAATCTCAAAAATACTCGTAGAAATAAACTTGTAGTCCTGCATCTAGGCTCCAAAAGATAAACAAGTCCTTTCGAGGACAATGTGTCCGATTTTATAATAAAATTCCAAATTATATTCAAAACGTACGTATTAACAAATTTAAATTCGCAATTATGCGTAAATTATGTCAGAAAGCAATTACACGGTTGTGGATTATTGTTGCTGTTGATCTACGACTTTCGAGTCTCTCATAAAAAACTATTTCAAACAATTTTATTTTTTTTGATGAATGATGATGATTTATGAAATAAAGATATTTTGAATTTGAATTTGAGCTTCCTGGTGCAAATTAAAGGCAAGCGAGATTTACCTCTATGTTCGCTTCCTTGACGAACGTCCCGCCCCACCAACCAACCCGGACGAAGTGCTGGAAATGGCTACACCACCCCAAGGACGGCAGTGGAGGTGATCCGCCAAAGCCCGTCGAGAAACCAGCCCCACAGGGTCCACTTCCTGAGGAGGTGCACGACCTATCCGCGGGCGAGAGTGACCGGGACGATGACTTGGCGAAAATACTGAGCAGCGATTATGGCGCTGTCAGCACTCTCCCCCACTAACGCCCTCGGCGCCATCAAAATCAACCTCCAGCACTGTCAGACAGCCAAGACCGACCCTTATCCAGGAGCCGTAGATTAGGAAGGAAGGAAGAGTTTAGGCGCGTAAACCCACCCGCATACAAAAGGCGCCCTTGTGAGTGGAGAATAGTCTATCTAACTAGGACTATGGGTGCTATCGTTGATCTTTCGAATCAGATTCATCCGCTCCCAACCCTTGGCAACCATGGCCAATGGCTTCCTGACTACCTTACCGTAAGACGCCTACAGAGTTCTCCCTTTCTCTCGTTCATTTGTTGACCTCACCTCCCACTGGGATTTACACCATAATCTTCCGTAAGGTGAGAGTGGAACTGAAACGCATAGACAAGAAAACCCCAGTCCCTGAGGTATTTCCATTCAGACCTTCAGAGCTCCACTATCTCTACCTTGTAACTACAACTAAGATAAATAAAACTATAGATAAATTTTGCTATAAAACATTAATCAGTAGATAGAAAGAATACATTTAAATTTTACTATAACTATTTTATTACTACTTTTTATCATGATGATGATGATGATGATAAAACTTACAAGTGCAAAGTATTATTGTAATATATCTTTATGACATTTACTATAATACTTTGCACGTGGAATACGTAGACACGGGTGTATTAAACGAACACAGTTTGACAACCATACTTCTTATCTCACTCTAAATATTTCTATTTTTTCCATCTAATCATCTAATCTAACAGGTTTGCTCAAAACCCGTCGATCGGATAAATTGTAGATAAAACGGCAAACTTGGAAGTATTTTAAAATAATAGGTAGATAACAAGGAAAAGGAAATGTTTCTTATACGGATAGACTGGAAAATACAAGCAATAACTTGAGCACGGCATAAGACTTGTGTCACCTGTATCAGTCCACATTTAAGTTACCTAGTTACGAACATAGAGAAGTATTCTGTTGCTTTGTAACAACTTACCAATTTTTCTAATATATTGAAAAACCTTCTTCCGCTCCTTAGTCCATTATTTTGAGTCGGGTTTCCACAGTTTCCTTCGCCAAGCAAAACGATCGTTGTCATTTCGTGCAACTGCGCTTTCTCGAGATCACTTTCAATGGAACTCCACCAGGTCAACGACACGGCAGGTAGCCCCTCCCACTGGGATTTACACCACAATCTTCCATACCTCCATCATCGCCAGCGTTGATCGCGGCAATGCTGGCTAGTGGCGAGGAATGGGCAGCCGCGGTCTCTTTCTGCGAGGACGTTATGCTCCAGAAGGAGGCCGCAGAGCGGGATCGGGAGAGGGCCGATCCCGCTCGAAATGGGTGGCTAAGAAGACGCGGCAGAGGTCGTTAGCTTCCCAATCGCCGCCTAAGGGTCGCTGCGGCCACATCTTGGGGCTATGTGGCCGCTGGTAACGACCCGAGACAGACGACACTCCGGTGCGGCCGGGGGGTGTTGTCCATGGCGGGGCGCTGTTGCGATTCCTACTGTATAGAGCAGTGAAAGGCGCGGCAGCCTAAAAAGTCACGGATTTGCACGTTATATTTATACATAGAATTTTATATGTTTCATAGGCAACAAAATAGTTTCGCGACCGAGGGCAGTACGAGAACTGATTCTATGCAGCGATCGAT